CTAGTTAGAGACTCCTCTTTATCCAGCTCCGAAACCTTAGTGTATTATTTTGGAATACTCTAAAAGTTGTTACATGACCCCATATCAAGGATGCATAGCTAAAACTTTGATGTAAAGTTTTATAAATGAAGGGAAAACAATTATGTACAGAGACAATGTCGTACACAAAATGGTTGCTTGTTTGAAAATCTCTACTAAGGATTGAGTGATATTTTCCCAAACCTTTTTTCAATGATAAATATCCTTGGTATATGACCCTATAGAATGATGAAAATAATTGGCATAGTAGCTAATAGAAAGGTCTAATTAATTAAAGTTTTAGAATAATGCATCAGTTGCTTTGACTCAGCGATATCATAAATCGCCTGATCGAGAAGCCTTGCATTGAGATTATAGGTGATTGAACAATTAACATTGGTGTATGGATTAGGATGTTAGATCGAGGATAAACATCCTCATAAGATTGGTGAAGGAGTGAACTTAATCATCAATATATCTATGCGACTATGCCTGGCATAAAATTATGGTTGAGTGCTTTAGAAAAAAAAGCAGTTGATGGCCCTGTCATCAGATCGTCCAAATCTGATGTTGCGTGGATGGGTCAAGCTGCAGACGGATCCATGACGGCGATTTCATTTCGAAGATGTGCTCGATTACTTGCGCAGAACTCAAGGGAGCTGTTGAACTTGAAGGCCTCGACAGAGCTTGGAGAAAAGGTTTCAGAAAGATTGAACTCAATCTGGATTCCATGACGGCGATTAACATTACGAACAATCTGGATTCCATTACTACATCCCGCTCTATTATTAATGAAAAAAAATTCTATACGATGATGAATAACTGTTTATGCAAAAAAACAAATATTAAATTTTGTAAAATCACTCATGTAAAGTGATCTTTAAAAAATTGAGGAATTATAGGTCATAAATGTTGAAGGTCGAATAACTATGTTGCATCTTTAACAATACTAGTACATACCCGCTCGCTTGCGCTTCGTCGTGCTACAAGTTGAGTACAGATAGGAAATTAAGTATGTTCTATATTGCTTTTTTGTCGACAAATATGTCATTACCAATAAACCGATTGAGTGATGCAATCAATTTCCTCGCTTTTATTAACCGCTATTACAGTATTCATTCGGACAATTGATTGTTCACTAAACGCAAGAAATACCGTACGTGTTTGAAAGTTACTATAAGTGGGGTTCACTGAACAAATAGTAGCAGTTTTGCACTGCAATGTTTAATCGATGTATAGTCACGCGAAGACACGGCAGTCTTATATTCGGACAATCTAATGGAGAAACTTTTACCAATTTAATCATTAATCCAATTGCATTCAAATCACTCATTGGATACAACTCCATCCTTTTTTTCCTTCACCCTCGAGTTAAAGATGAAAGTATAGCGACTTCACATTTTTGTTTACTCCCACCTAATGCTTGAGCTACTGCTTAAGTTTACAGGTCAATTAAACATAACAAAATCCCCATCAGGAAAAGCACAAACCTGAAGGCAACTTGTTTAACGAAGCACATAGAAGTAGATATAGAGCATCATACATAATAACAAAATCCCCTAGTCAAATCTGAAGGCTGATTAATGGTTCAAGAAAATCTTGGTAGCTAATCCGAAAACAAAGAATGGAAAAAGCCAAAACCATTCATAAACATAACTTATGCACATCATTGAAAGTCACTGGACTTATACTTGGCTTCAACATCACAGTGAACGTGAATTTCTGCTGGAATGTCATTGGTTATATCCTTTTACTAATAACATGTAGGGGATGAAAACAATTACTCTTGGAAGGTTAATTACCCAAAAAGTCCATGCACAGAAGTAAAGAGGCCCTTGGAATTGTTCAGTAAATTATGAAAGAGCTGCTTCAATAGGTTAAAAGTTCTTTTATATAAGACTTAGATATCATTTGGAATTAACTAAACTCAATGGAACAAAGTGACATAAGTGCTCTTCACGACGTAATAAAAAAGAATATAGTACGAACTAATTATGATGGAAATGAGTCGAGTGATGTAGCAAGGACAATAAACAGTGGATGTAGGTCCTCAAAAGTAAACCCCAAGTTATGTACAAAAAAACCAAGTTATTCATTAAGCTATACCCAAAAAAGATCATAACATACCAGGTACAAAGGATTTGTTCAACACATTGCACGACCAAGCTAATCAGCAATTTATTACAAAATTCCAGAGCTGCAAAACAGCAGCAGTAGAGAGCAAATCGTCAAGGAGAAACATCTGGCTGCAAAGGTAAAAGTGATATGGGGGTTAAGCTATGAAAAGTCAAGAGATTTTGACTTGAAAAATGACGATGATCCAAAAGTACACAACTGCCTAGCCAAAGTGCTCTCAATCATGCTACAACTAACTTGGAGTCTCCACAATGTGGTGAATTCAAATAAAATCAATTTGAGATGTTAACAACAACCCATTAAAAATGGCACAGATCACTCCTATAATTTGTTGCATAATGACAAAACAATTTACAGCAACAGCCTTTTAATCACCAGCACAAAAGGGGGGAATCACAATAGGATCGTGCTTAACATCAAGTTGAATGGAAGAATTCGGTTGCATAAGAAAATCATATGAAAGTTCAGTAAGAAGCAGAATACATAAGTTGAGTAGGTCGCAAAAAGAGAGAACCTGCAGGAAAGACATGAGCTACAACAATCCCAAAAATTGCTTCCTCCTTCCACCTTCTTGCATCACGTCTTTTGCACCATTCCCCTTTTCCTCTGGCAGTTGAAATATAAGGACTACACTTCCGCAACACACAAATTTTTGTTTGGAATCCAGTAATGAAAACCGCATATGCAGAAGTTCATTGAGAGGTGTCTCTCATCTGCACCAAGCAACATTGAAACATGAGCATCATGGCCACAATCATGCATTTTCCCGGGCACCTTGCACTTGTGCTCCCATTCAAAGACCTCCTGGAGAAATAAAATGTAAAGGCTGTTCAGTTCTGGCCAAGAGATAAAAACTTCAGCATCATATGAATCCCCACAACCTAAAAAGGGAAAATGATAGATCCGATCCCCTTAAACTTCAATTTAGTACAAAGGACTGAATGAGTATGAGAATCGCTTTCACACTCCACAGGAATACATAGTACTAATTACTTTTATGTGCACTAAATAAATAACGCTTCCAAGAGAGAGTACAAAGGCATAACTCGCCAGCAAAAGCAATGCATCTGGCTTTGATATGAACCTTCAAATCCATCAATACAACATGTTTACTCAACAGGGGAAATATCACTATCGACATTGCAGGTAAACTTGCACATATCCAAACTGACGAATTGGCATTCAAATGAAACTCAAGCAATTCAATTCTCAATCCTTCAGTATTCATACATCAGTTGAAATGAAAACAAAACAAACCAAGATTTTGAAGCAATATATGTGTTGCCCTAAACTTTGTCAGTGATTTTAAAAGACTTCAGAATTCTGGTGTGTTTTGTTAATCCACCTTCCTAGCAAACCCCAAGAGTTAAACTCTCTTATGTGGGAGTAGGATTCCAGTAAGGATTAGACCAACCACACATAGAGAGCTCCCATGAAGACGGCTGGGACCTGACATGAAGTAACAGAAAATCAATTCATCGTTACCGGATATTGGATTTTCTTCTTCATGATTAGCTAAAATGAATGTAACCGATCTAAGGATTCCACGTACATAGAAACAATCAACACATTATTCTTGCAAAGGAGAACATACAACTGCTATAAACACCAGAGGGAGAAATGCCGTTAACAGTGCAAGGATGATACTAAGCTGCATAGACTGAGAAGAAAAGATTACCCTAGGTACTGAAAACTGAATTTTCTTCTTTCTAACCACTAATAAAGCTCATGTCAAGGCCACTCCTCCTTCGATCCATACCCTGCAAAAATTCAACCTTGCTGGTATTGACCCATTCAACCATCTCTGGAGAAAACCAAAACATAAAGGCTATTAAATTCTGGCCAAAGGATCACGTTGAACACCCTATGAAGCCCCAACCTACAAAGGAAAAGACACAGATCCAATCCCCTTAAACGTCTAATAATTACAAAGGACCAAATCATTATCAGAATCGGTTTACACAACCACGAAAACCAAATTTGAAGGGAAACACAAAGAAATCACTTAATTGAAAACCATGCATTGGTAATCAAAACATTGGCATGTTCATATCATTACAATCACAATTTAAAAATTTTCATCCTAAAAGAAAAGAGCTCGAGCTGGTACTGAAAGTTTTCCAGTTTAAGAATGAAAAAGAGTACTAATGAATCACCCTCCCAATGTAAACAGGGAGTAGAGTTAGACCCTTGAAACTCGTAAAGAAAGCAAGAACCCCTTAAATAGCAATTAGATTGCTCCTTTTTGGGAAATGACCTGACATTAACACCAACACAGCAATAGCAAAGGGAAAGATTGATAAGATTTGGCTAACTAAGGAATAGCAGGAGTAATTTTCCAAACCAGACTAAACCTGAATCGACAAACTTCCAGACACGCTGAATCGAAAAGCTTTTGTGGCACTCCAAGTGTCGATTCTTGCTAGTGTGGCGCAGCCAAAGGGAACTGGGGACTGTATGAAAAAACAACGATTGCAAGGAGAGAGTAGAGGTTCCCAATCAAAGCCCACTCATGAGGCAGAGTACAAGCCCCAGAGATAACAAAAACACAGTGGGATTCATAGGATCTCATGTTCACTGCTCGTCAATTACATGTAGTCAAAAGAAAATTCCTATGAACTACAGTAAAATCATACACTTGCTGGAAAACAGAACTAGAAAAACATGAAAAAACGTAGTATGAAGACCACTTGTGGAGGGAGAGAAGAGTTCCCTCCCTTCCCTGATTGCTAGCTCATCCCATGAATCACTGTAAACAACCGTTTCATCTATTACTCCATAGCCAGAAGCCCCATCAACACCATCAGTTACCCCACTAGTATTTACAGCAACCCTTACATTCATGATTACATTCTTACTCCGTCGTCCTCCAAGCTAGCTCGATGAAAACACATGACTGTGCATACAAAGATGAAGAAGGACGTGAACTCGATGAACATTGCGCCTGTTTCAATCATATTGGCATGTCTAAGGATGATAGGAATCGCTAAGCTCCCAACGGCTGATGCTCCAGTGAGGAACTTTGCAGCATCTATCCAACTGCAGTTTAGCAACAGCACAAGCTTTAAGGATGAACACTAAACTAGATCAAACTAGAACACTAAACTTCTATAAGGAATAACATTTTTATAGGATAATTTAGCTCTCGACATTTAGTGCAAAATGGTTACAAATCTTTAATTCTTAACGAATTAGTAATACCAGTTTGATCTAATCAACACTCCACCTAATCAAAATGATTAATAATAAAATTGAACTTAACCAACCAAACCACCCAACACACCCGATCTCCAGTCTCCACTCACCCGGACCAAATTAAGCCTTTCTTCCATTCTTCTCTCCTTATCCTTCGCTTGCCCCTTTTCCTTTGTTCTTCTCTGATGCAATATTTCAGCGGAAAGGAACCAAAAATATTGTCTCAATCTTGCATATGGTGTCTTTAATATTCGTAGAAAATTTCCGCGTCATTAATTGCCGCCCTTCTTCGTTTATTGATATCGAGTCGTTACAAATTAACGGTTTGTGATTATTTTGTATTAATTGTGAATGTTTGTGATAGTTTCTGCTAATTAAGCTCAATTCGTTTAGTTCCAAAAACTCGAGACCATGGTCTTCTGAATTCACTGATTAATGTCTTGGGTAGTGAAGGTCTGGGACTTGTATTTTGATTTTTGCAGCAGAACTTTTAGAAGTCCAGGGCAGGAAGGCCCATGGCCTTTGATCCATAAAAGTCGGGCCGTGACCCAGCAAAGAAAGTAAAAACCGTATTACCCGGCCCACTTGCACCCCTGTCAGCAGCAGCCGCCGTATATGCAAACGAGAAGGAAAACCATTTGTGGTCGGTTTCTTAATGCCCATAAAAAGAAAAAAGAGGATTCCACATCTCTTCGCGCTCCGGGCTAGCTTCTTATCTTCGTCCGATCTGTCTGTATACGCCATGGCGACCGAGGGCTGCCGCTCCTCGGATTGTGATCGGCCGCTGAGGGAACTCCATGGCTGCTCAGGGAAAAAACGACGAATCAATTCAGATGCAAACCTTCTGATCAGTAAGCTAGGGGACGATCTTCTTGTAGAGATTATGATTCGCCTTCCCAATCCTAGATTCGCCTGCCGCTGCAAACTCGTCTGTCAGCGGTGGAGGTCCGTCATCTCCCGCACCCGCTTCAATCGCCGTTTTGTTTCTCACCGCCTGACCATGAATCCGAACGATCTCAAATTGATGGTTCTTAGTTTTCTCCCTCCCATGCCTAATGGAGTTGAAGACCGAGACGCTCTTAAAGTTTTGGATTGCAAAAATGACTTAGTTTTATGCGGGTTTTGGGATACACATAGCGACGACAAGATGCATAGCAGGTCGTACTTGGTCTGCAACCTGTTCACGAAGCAGTGGAATGCTATTCCTTTAGCGCCCAAGAAGTCAGTGATTTACGGAGCTCCCGTTGCAAGGTTAGTTTGTGAACCCCAGGCATCTGTTTACTATTCCGGGGATCGGTTCCGGGTTGTGTGTATATATCATCAGATCTTTCCAACATCATTTGTAAGACTAGACGTGTTTTGTTCCGAGTCTGGAGAATGGACTAAGGATGCCCTTGTACGTAAGGGTCATCATAGATTGGGGATAAAAAGTGTAGTTTCCTGCAACGGGGAGTTGTTTTGGAAGTATTTTGAATATCCTCGCAGCGGTGTTCAATTTGTGGCAGGGTTTAATCCTTTCCGCTTCGATTTGCCACCCACTTCCATTGATGTTTCTGCATTCCTTGCAAAACCGCGGTGGTCTATTGCCGTCTGTCAAGATGCCTTGCACGTAATTGTGCTAGAAAATGAAGTTCCTCCTTTTCGTTCAAGCGTCTGGAGGTTGGAAGAAGATCATAAATCTTGGAGAAAACAATGTGAGGGGCTGGTGAACAAGACATCAAAGTGTGGTAACTATGAAGCCGGGGGCTTTTATCAACCTTTTCTGCATCCACAGAAGCCAGAAATTGTCTTCTTCAATCAGTTTGACATTGGTAACGATAATAATGTTATTTTGTGCTGTGATTTGAGAAGGGGAGAGTTAGAGTTCTTCACTAAACTAGAAGAGATACTTGAAGCCTCTCACTTTTTGGTGTTCCATCCGAGGGTTTCTCGCTGGTTTACTCAAATTCCAGAGTTTGAGAAGTTGCGAGGCATGCACAAGAGTGGTGATCCACGAACTCCCTCCCTCAATAACGAGCAGTTCAGCATTCGGCTTGGTGTTCCAGCCAAGGTACGAAGAGCTGCAAGGTCTACGCGACGGAAGCTACAAGTTTTGGTTTCAAAACAGCAGTGAAGCAACGGCTCCCTCACTCAACGGTTGGTAATCACTTGTAAATGTACTTCTCTGCTTTTACACATATATCCATTAATTATAAAATTATATTGATGGGTTTCGGAAAACAATCTTCTCCATGTAGATTTTAGTTATTTCGAACCCTGAACCGCTGAACCATCAATGTGATTGAACCGGTGAGTCTCAAAACATAATTTCAAGTAGTTAGGGTTCATTTGGAGAATACGATTTGGAGTATGAATCCTACATCTAGGAGGCAGTTGTGTTTTTTAATGCATTTTATATTGTTGATTTTAGGTTCAGATATTCAAAATTTATAAAATCTAAGAGAGATATTGAATCCCAAATAATTGTAAAGACTCAATGTCTTATTGGTTGGATTATTGTTTTTCCAGCTTTATCCTTCCTTTTGTTATTTATTACTTCAAATAAATTGCAGATGCTGAATTATACTCTTATACGAACCAATTGACCCACCAACTCAAATGGATTTGGAATATGAAGATATTTAAGTAGCGTTACTTCCTCCTCATCACGGATGGATTCTTGTAATTTTGATTTATTTTGACCAGTGGGTGGATGAATGAAGAGCGTGGATGGATGTCCTCAATCCAAGTTTCTGTGACGGCCGGAGGATGAACAACCAACAGTCGGATGGACATGGGAGGATGGGGGGTCAACAATCCAATGAGCTTGATGGTTTTTAAAGTTCGGTCGAGAGTTAATTTTAGAAAGTTAAGTTTAAGTTCCAGGGATTTGTTAAACGCTATGAGTTTCTGGACATGATTTACTTGGAATGGTGTACCATTTTTCTTTTCTTTGTTTACAATATAAACTTGGTGGCTTATGTAGTTGATGAATCAATGGGCCTGAAGGCCAAAGAACAGCAGCACCCAACAATAGATGAGAAATATCAAGTGGTATCGAAGTAAAAAAAGCTGGAATTAGGTTGAGATTGGAACTCAGTTAGGAAACAAACAGCTGCATTTCTATTATCTTTGAGGTATTGTCAGATGTATGACTATAACTCAATATTGCAGCGGGTCAGCCTCTTTGGGATAGCATTAGGTTGATGGTGAAAGGGGCACTATGAGGGGCTTTCATGTCTGTCACTAATGATTCTTCCCAGCACACACTGTAGTTATTCTTCTATATAGCTATAGTTATAAGAAGTATGATTTTAAACCACGTTTGCTATTTGACTACAGCTTCCTTTTGGCAGCTGTTTTGACTAGATTCAATCCTATCATTTGGAGATGGTGACTATTCTCTGCAGTTAAGATTAATGGAAGCCGATGCTTGCATTTTTGCTCCACCTGATTTGGTTTAGGAAGATGTTGTTTCTCCACTTTTCCCTTCTTTATTATTGGTTTCGCGTGCAATTGAATCTACATTCCATGATTTCGCATGATTATAAACAATGTAAAAGAGGGACTTCTTTCAGACAATATGGTGGTTACTTAATGTCATCTGTTTGGTGGTCCAATCACTCATGCTATGACGTCTTTTTCTTGCTTGCTTTTGTTTATCTCTAATTGTGTATGGAATGACACCATTTTATTCAGATTATCATGCCATGAAGGATGAGAAGACTGCCTTCGGTTTGGTTAATCTGCCATGTTACAGTTTTGCTGCACAGTTTATTTGATCAGACACCACTTCTGCAGAGTTTATTTGATCATACCTCTGGCTGAAGGTGCTGTCTTCATGTATTATCCAGGGTAAAAAGAGTAACAGAGTAGCTAGCCTATATATGTACATCCTACAGACATTCATACTTTTGGAGCCTTGGAAACAGATTAGCTTCTGATCAGTAACGATTCTATTCTCTTGCATTATAGCCTATCATTCCTTCATTTCATGGTTACAAAAGAGTAGCTTTTCGTTGACACAGAGAATTTGAATCTTACTGAGATATTGTAGTTTTTGTTGCGTTATGAAGATCCTAGTAAAACTGAGTACTCTATGTAGCTTCTGAGTTAGATAACATTGAAGTTAAGTGATTTGATATGTGTTTGTGTTGCTTAATATCTTCCATTAGATTCCTTGGAGATTGGATGTACTTCATTTTAACCATATAAATCCCATTGAAATGATAAGTTGTAATACCAGCATCCATTGTTGAATTTCCCCCCAGTTTGATTATGATTCATCTAAAAAGGCTTGAACATCACCTTTCAGAGGATCACATGCTTGCTTTTGAGATTCACGCTCTTTGTTTCCTCATCCATTATGTGTTAGTGAGTTTTTAGTAGTGTCAAATTGTGAGGGTATGCCGCATCAGTTCATTAGAAGAGTAGCTGAAACCAAAATGAAACTTCGTTACGTGTTTGGGTTTCTCTTACCAGGATAAGCTAATACTTACAATCCCTTCCTGTTAAATATGCGGATCAGTAAGTCGGTCTATTAGAGCAAATGTTTATACCGGGTTTGGCAAATTTTATAGCAGCTAGGTTGTAATCTATCTTCCGCCAACTGTTACAGTAATGGCCATGATCTCCGTTTGAGTTTATTTATTCAGGTTGATTGTGGAATTAACTATGTCATAGTTGTTGAACAGTTCCATATGTGTATATAATGTAAGTGACTTCACAAGGATGGCCGTGCATTTTTGTTTTAATTATTGAATGCCAATGTCATTCTTTTCATTTTATTTGGCTCTTAGGATCATCATCCCAGGTCAGGTTGGCTTCATAGGGTTAATGCAGCAGCGGCAGCAGTTTCAACTTCGTCCACTCTAGGTTCTACAATAAGATATGTTCCTGCATTAAATTAGCTTCTTGATCACTCCGTGCTTGCGCGCTTATATGCTTTAATTGATACATTTGGTTGTCTTTTCTCTAATATCTTCTGATCTCATATGCATAAAGGAAAAGGCCCCTGAATCTTCTTTCCCTTCACCAACAAAACCAGCTCGGCCTCGAACTTCAGCTCTTGTGAACCCAGTTTCTGTAACATGGTACGTTCCCACTTATGTTTACGTCTTTCTAAGTTATACAAGATGAAACCTCTTTGATCTCCTGATATAAACTTCGATCCACTTTCAGAATTGCAAAGGCTATCACACTCCTTTTGGTCACTGTCACTGTCACTGTCACTGTCACCAGCACAAGTCTCTTGGTCCTTTATTACCAATTTCTTTCATTCCGGTTCCTTCTTTTTATACCAAACATTTCACCGTAGCTCTTTCTGTCAACAATTGTTCCTTCTGCTTTATTTCTCAAATGTAAAGATGGCTGAATGGTAAATGTTACTGTTGCTTCGTTAGGCCTTGACTATTTACTGACTTCTCTGTTTTCAGTGCTTGATATCCTTACTGCTTTGTTAACATCTCTTCTCACAGTTGTCATGGACATATCAGAATTCAGAACTATGCCAAGGAAGAACAGACAGATCGGCTCATCCTCTTACCTCCTTCCCCATGCAGATTTGTGAAATCCATTCTTCATGAATTGATGGATTAATATTGAATTTGATATAAAGTGCAAATGTTTAATCTATTTGGGTGGTAGCAGATTGTTGACCATTCTTTATATACAACATTAAGAGGTGCTTCTTCTTAGCATTCTGAATGTTGTTGTTTGGAAGGAGGTGAAGATAATCTCGGAGACTCTTCAAAAGGTTGTCGTAGCCGTTACTGAAAACCCTGCTATAGAGGGAAAAGCTATGGATCGATATCTTAGGAACCATTCAGGTATGGTCTGCTTTCATGATTCTTTATCATTTATTGATTATGTTGTGTATAATTTTGGTCTCTCATGTTGCTATTTGAGTCCTCTCTTTTGTTGTCAATCTCATTTCACAACTTCAAGGGCAAGTATTTGTGCGATTATGTTTGGTAGGCCACTTGTTGTCTTTCATAGGCCTATTTAGTTTCATTTTGGGATATAAACCAAGGCCGACTTGAATGAAGGATGTTGAATTCGTTCTTTTTCTCACTGCTGGGCAGGTTGGCAAGCCATTGTCCAACGACGCAAAAGCACAAAAACTGGGTTTTCAGACTTGGATTGAAGCTGTAATTGAACTTGCCCCTCACCCTTTTCATCGTTGCCACTATCTATTTGAGATCTTACTGGTATCCTACTGCCACATAGGAGAGTTGAGCTTTTAGGGTTTGATAGGAAGGTGGATTAGAACACACCAGAATCTGCATATCAGAGTCGGATACATTGAGATCTCCCTCTTCTCTGTTTCCTGTCAGATCTATATTTCCATATGCAATTGCTTGCTTCTGCCGCTATCTAGAGTTCTTTCAATTGTTTTTCATTTCAGACTAGCTACTTCTATACGATGTTCTTTCACTGACCTACTGATGGAATTTTGGCCTCACAAGGTTAATTATACATTTTTGGGTCCATATTGAATACTACCGTGAACCTTTTATTTCGTCGGCAAGTTATGCTTTTTACTGGCTAAGTATTGTTATATCACCGGGGGGTCTTTTCTGGGCGAAATCAGTTTCTGCAGAGTGAGATTTAGTTTGCATTTGTTGCAGAACTATGGGCTTCAATTTCATATCAGACCTACTACGGGTAGCGTGAGATTACCACACAGAATGTCTTACCAGTTCCGTGTCGAATTCCATGAATACAACTCATTTCTTCTCCCCGTTGACGATCACCTTCACCTTATTTGAATAACATATTGGCCCCAAATGCTAATAGAAACAACGGCTGCATTAATCCATTGCAAATAGAAACTTGAAGATCGAGTTTTGTGAGGAAGGGAGAGGGAAAGGATACAGACTAGGCAAAAGAAACTGCCCCAGATATCAGGGGAGAAGTGTTTCCCCGGAAAAAACCAAATGCCACCGCCGGTGCCGAATTCGTTTTCGGCGATGTTGATTTGATGTTTCGCGGTGGAAACTCTTGCGGTGCCGTTTTATCGAATGCACCGTTGATTGCTGAAATCGAGACGACCGTCAAATATCCGCCGCCAAATGTCGGCGCCGTTGATTTGATCGATGCACCTCTAAATGATGAAATCAACGTGACCGTCAAATATCCACCGCCGGGCGGTGTTGATTTGATCGATGCACCTCTGACTTCTAACCAACTACGGTTCGCACCTCTCCAAACTACGTTCGAACGAGGGTGTTTGAGTTTTGAGGAATCTACGCTACCGCTACTCCTATGGAGATTCCTGTGGAGAGCTCCGCGACTACGACTAAGACTACAACTATGGAGATCCTTCGTGGAAGGAGAGCTCCGCGAAGGAGTTACAAAGAAAAAAGGGAAAATTTGACAGATGTGTTTATGTGTTGATTTATGGTTCCTCTTTTCTCTCTCCTTGCTCCACTGCTTTTATTCGAAAAACTGCTTCGTAGTCTTCACGCTCGGTGGAACCGCTTCCTCAACTGCTCCGTTGTGAAATCCCACGTGTCTCAACCGCTTCGCTCCTCAAACTGCTTCGCGTGAACTTTACGTGAGTTGTTTTCATGATCCCGCGATGTCGTTTCCTTTCCCAAACAGCTCCGCTTGATTCTACCCGCGACATCGTTTTAATATTAAACGACTCCAGTTCCAGCCTTGCGGTGTCGTTTTCTTTCCTCTTGCGGCATCGTTTTCAACTAAACGACACCGTCCGAAATAATCATTAACAATATTAGTTAATTAATCCGGTCATCACTAGTTATGGCCAACGACATCACTAGCGCCACAAAAACTCTGTTTGTTTTTCCCTTTTGCGACATTGTTTGTTATTTTAAACATTGTCGTTTGCTAGTCCGCGGTACCGTTGGGCTTACTCGCGGTACCGTTTTGAACTAAACGACACCGCCGATATAGCCAAAAAATATTAATCCATGGAAACAGCGCAGTCGGCGCTCGCATTGGGCCGGGTGAATTTTTGGTCACTTGCCCGTCGGTACCGCTTGCCAGGCTCTCGCGGCATCGTTTTTAAATCCGCGGTACCGTTTTAACTCTCCGCGGTACCGTTTTTCCTCCTCCAACAAGGAATAAAAATATTAATTAATTAAAAACAACACTCCTTCTCCAACAAGAAACCACACGCGCGGCCCTTGTTTTTTATTTTCGGCAAGCGGTGCCGTTTCCAGTGCCGCGGTACCGGTGAGCCTCCTTGCGGTACCGGTGAGCTCCCTTGCGGTACCGTTTTAACTTCAAACGATACCGTTTTTTAACCCGCGGTATCGAATTAAATGCCGAGACTGCGGCATTTAATCCCGGCCAAATTAATTTTAGGTGTCAACAAATGCCCCCCACAACTCGGTTTATAAAAATTATGAACCGAGTTGTTGACACAACTCAATCACCTAAAATTGTTCGATTGAGGAT